AGTAGAGAGATCCCCCCCAAAAAATCAATAAAAACCAATCAACACCTTGACATTTAATAGTGAAGCTTGCAAATTCCAAAGATAAAGAGAAGATCCCTAAAGCAGCAAGAGACAAGAAATCTCTAACTTTTATAGGGAGAAATATTAGGTTTACAGAAGACCTCTCCAAAGAGACCTGGCAGGCCAGAAAAGGCTGGCAGGATACATTCAGGGTCCTAAGTGAGAATAACATGCAGCCAAGAATACTTTATCTAGCAAGGCTCTCGTTCAGAATAGAAGGAGAGATAAAGAGCTTCCAAGATAGGCAGAAACTGAAAGAATATGTGACCACGAAGCCAGCTCTGTAAGAAATTTTAAGGGGGACTCTGTATAAGAAAGAGGAAGTCCAATGGAACAATCCACAAAAACAGGGACTGAATAGGTATTATGATGACAATAAATCTATATCTTTCAATAGTAACTCTGAATGTGAATGGGTTAGTGACCCCATCAAAAGGCGCAGGGTTTCAGACTGGATCAGAAAGCAGGACCCATCTATTTGCTGTCTACAAGAGACTCATTTTAGACATAAGGACACCTACAGCCTGAAAATAAAAGGTTGGAGAACCATGTACCATTCAAATGGTCCTCAAAAGAAAGCAGGGGGGTAGCCATCCTTATATCAGATAAACTAAAATTTACCCCAAAGACTGTAGTGAGAGATGAAGAGGGACACTATATCATACTTAAAGGATCTATCCAACAAGAGGACTTAACAATCATCAATATATACACCCCAAAAGTGGGAGCTGCCAAGTATATCTATCAGTTAATAACCAAAGTTAAGACATACTTAGATAATAATACACTTATACTTGGTGACTTGAATGTAGCGCTTTCTACAATCGACAGGTCTTCTAAGCACAACATCTCCAAAGAAACAAGAGCTTTAAATGATACCCTGGACCAGATGGATTTCACAGATACTTACAGAACTTTACATCCAAATGCAGCTGAATACACATTCTCCTCAAGTGCACATGGAACTTGCTCCAGAATAGACCACATACTGGGTCACAAATCAGGTCTTCATCGATACCAAAAGATTGGGATCATCCCCTGTGTATTTTCAGACCATAATGCTTTGAAATTAGAACTAAATCACAAGAAGAAGTTTGGAAGGACCTCAAACACGTGGAGGTTAAGGACCATCCTGCTAAAAGATGAAAGGGTCAACCAGGAAATTAGAGAAGAATTAAAAAGATTCATGGAAATTAATGAGAATGAAGATACAACCATTCAGCCACTCTGGAAAACTGTGTGGAGTTTCCTCAAAGAGTTAAAAATAGATCTGCCCTACGACCCAACAATTGCACTACTGGAGATTTACCCCAAAGATACAGATGCAGTGAAATGCGGGGACACCTGCACCCTGATGTTTCTAGCAGCAATGTCCACAACAGCCAAACTGTGGAAGGAGCCTCAGTGTCCACTGAAAGATGAATGGATAAAGAAGATGTGGTTTATGTATACAATGGAATATTACTCAACCATTAGAAACGACAAATACCCACCATTTGCTTCAATGTGGATGGAACTAGAGGGTATTATGCTGAGTGAAATAAGTCAATTGGAGAAGGACAAACATTATATGGTCTCATTCATTTGGGGAATATAAAAAATAGTTAAAGGGAATAAAGGGGAAGGGAGGAAAAATGAATGGGAAATATCAGAAAGGGAGACAGAACATGAGAGGCTCATAACTCTGGGAAACGAACTAGGGGTGGTGGAAGGGGAGGTGGGTGGGGTTTGGGGGTAACTGGGTGATGGGCACTGAGGGGGGCACTTGATGGGATGAGCACTGGGTGTTATTCTATATGTTGGCATATTGAACACCAATAAAATATAAATAAAAAACAATAAATCTTCCTGTGTAGCATAGACATTTTCACAATATTCTTCAATCCATGAACATGGAATACTTTTCCATTTCTTTGTGTCTTCCTCAATTTCTTTCAGAAGTGTTCTGTAATCTTTAGGGTATAGATCTTTAACCTCTTTGGTCAGGTTTATTCCTAGGTATCTTATACTTTTGGGTGCAATTGTAAATCACATTGACTCCTTAATATCTCTTTCTTCAGTTTCATTGTTAGTGTTAGAAATGCCACTGACTTCTGGGCATTGATTTTTGTATATTGCCACATGGCCGAATTGCTGTATGAGTTCTACCCATCTTGGTTGGAGTGTTTTGGGTTTTATATGTGCAGTATCATGTCATCTGAGAAGAGGGAGAATTTAACTTCTTCTTTGCCAGTTTGAATGCCTTTTATTTCTTTCTGTTGTCTGATTGCTGAGGCTAGAACTTCTAGTATTATGTTGAATAGCAGTGGTGAGAGTGGACATCCTGGCACATTCCTGATCTTAGGAGAAAGGCTCCCAGTTTTTCCCCATTGAGAATGGTATTTGCTGTGGGCTTTTCATAGATGGCTTTTAAGATCCTGAGGAATGTTCCCTCTATCCCTTCACTCTGAAGAGTTTTGATCAGGAATGGATGCTGTATTTTGTCAAATGCTTTCTCTGCATCTATTGAGAGGATCATAGGGTTCTTGTTTTTTCTCTTGTTGATGTGATCTAACTCATTGATTGTTTTATAAGAGTTGAACCACCCTTGTATCCCAGGAATAATTCCCCCCTGGTTGTGGTGAATAATCTTCTTAACCTATGTTTGATCTTGTTGCTAGTGTCTTGTTGAGAATTTTTACATCTGAGTTCATCAGGGATATTGGTCTATAAATCTCCTTTTTGGTGGGGTCTTTGTCTGGTTTTGGAACCAAAGTAATGCTGCCTTCATAAAACAAGTTTGGAAGTATTCCATCCCTTTCTATCCTTCGGAGCTGCTTTAGTAGAATAGGTATTGTTTCTTCTTTAATTGTTTGATAGGATTACCCTGGGAAGCCATCTGGCCCTGGACTTTGGTGTCTTGGGAGATATTTGGTGACTGCTTCAATTTTCTCTCTGGTTATCCTCATGCTCAGGTTTTCTATTTCTTCCCATTCCAGTTTTGGTAATTCCTGGTTTTCCAGAAATGCATCCATTTTTTCTAGATTGCCTATTTTGTTGGCATATTGGCGCTCCTAATATGTTTTTAAAATTGTTTGTATTTCCTTGGTATTGGTTGTGATCTCTCCTCTTTCATTCGTGATTTTTTAATTTGAGTCTTTTCACTTTTTTTTAATAAGGCTGGCTGTAGGTCCATTTATCTTATTAATTCTTTCAAAGAACTAACTCCTGGTTTTGTTTATCTATTCTACAGTTCTGGTCTCTATTTCATTGAGTTCTACTCGAATCTTTATTATCTCTCTTCTTCTGATTGGTGTAGGTTTGTAGGCTTTACTTGCTGTTCTTTCCCCAATTTCCTTAGGTGCAAGGATAGCTTGTGTATTTAAGTTTTTTCCAATTTTTTGAGGGAGGCTTGTATTGTAATGTATTTCCCTCTTAGGGCTGTTTTTGCTGTGTCCCAAAGATTTTGAATGGTTGCACCTTCGTTTTCATTAGTTTCCATGAATCTTTTTAATTCTTTTCTAATTTCCTGGTTGACTTATTCATCTTTTAGTAGGATGCTCTTTAACCCCCATGTGTTTCAGTTTCTTCCAAATTTCCTGGGATTGAGTTCTAGTTTCAAAGCGTTGTGGACTGAAATTATGCAGGCGACAGTTCTAATCTTTTGGTATCAGTTGAGACCTGATTTGTGACCCAGAATGTGGTCTATTCTGGAGAAAGTTCCATGTGCCCTTGTGAAGAATATGTATTCAATTGTGTTTGGATGGAAAACTATGAAATCTACTTGGTCCAAGGTATCATTTAGGGCCCTTGTTTCTTTAGTGATGTTCTGCCTAGAAAATATGTCCTTTGCTGAGAGGGCCGTGTTGAAGTCTCCTAGTATTAGTGTATCTAAGTGTCTCTTTACTTTGGTTATTAATTGATTGATATGCTTGGTAGCTCCCACATTATGAACATCAATATTCATGACTGTAAGGTCTTTTTGTTGGATAGATCCTTTAAGTATGGTATAGTGTCCCTCTTCATCTCTTACCACAGGCTTTGGTATAAACTCTAATTTATCTGATATGAGGGTTGCTACCCCAGCTTTGTTTTGAGGAGCATTTGAATGGTAAATGTTTCTCTACCCTTTCATTTTGAATCTGGAGGTGTCCTTAGTTCCAAAATGAGTCTCTTGTAGACAGCATATAGGTGGGCTGCTTTTCTATCCAGGCTGATCCCCTACATCTTTTGATGGGTTCATTTAGTCCATTCACATTCATTTTTTTAATATATTTTTTAATTTTTATTTATTTATGATAGTCACAGAGAGAGAGAGAGAGAGAGAGAGAGAGAGAGAGAGGCAGAGACACAGGCAGAGGGAGAAGCAGGCTCCATGCACTGGGAGCCCGACGTGGGATTCGATCCCGGGTCTCCAGGATCGCGCCCTGGGCCAAAGGCAGGCGCCAAACCGCTGCGCCACCCAGGGATCCCCCCATTCACATTCAGACTAAGTATTGAAAGATATGAATTTAGTGTCATCATATTACTTATTCAGCCCTGTTTTATGGATTGTTTCTTTGAGCTTCCTTTTTCTTTTACAGGGTTATTTCCTGCAAACTACATATTCTTTCAGTTTGTGCCTATCCTGGAAGGTCTATACTGCTCCTTCTATTCTGAATGACAGACTTGCTGGATAACATATACTTGGCTGCGTGTTCTTCTCATGTAGTACACTGAATAGCCCACGCCAGCCCTTTCTCACCTCCCAGGTCTCTGTGGAGAGGCCTGCTGTTAATCTGATACTTCTCCCCATATAAGAATCTCTTTAGATATTTGCCGGTGCGGCCCGAGCCGTCAACAACAAAAAGTGCGCGGCAGCGCGGCGGGAGCACGGACGGGCGCCCGGACGCCGGGGCCGCCTCGCCGCCGCCCCCGCGGGCCTGGCCCCGGCGCCCCTGCGCGCCCCGCCGCTCCCGCTCGCGGGGATGTCTTACAAACCGAACTCGGCCGCGCACATGCCCGCCGCCTCCCTCAGCGCCGCTGGGAGTGTCCACCCGCCCTCCACCAGTATGGCCACATCCTCCCAGTACCGCCAGCTGCTGAGTGACTACGGGCCACTATCTCTAGGTTATACCCAGGGAACTGGGAACAGCCAGGTACCCCAAAGCAAATATGCTGAGCTGCTGGCCGTCATTGAAGAGTTGGGGAAAGAGATTAGACCCACCTATGCAGGGAGCAAGAGCGCCATGGAGAGACTAAAACGAGGCATCATTCACGCCAGAGGCCTGGTTCGAGAGTGCTTGGCTGAGATGGAACGGAATGCCAGGTCCTAGCTGCCTATCAGCGTAGAAGGTTTTCCATCTTCTTCCAAGACCAGAAGTCACAGCTCATCTCCCAGGTTCAGATGAAACTCTTGTTTTCAGAATGGTAACAGTTTGGTTTCTCCTTCCCGTGTCCCTCCCATGGTTCATGAGGCTCTGAGATTGAGAAATACTTTGCAGTTGACTAGGATTTACATTTTAAATAGGAATTACCCAGGGTTTTTTTGTTTTTATTTTTATTTTTTTTAAGCATTTTTATTTTTTTGTTTTCTTTTTTTTTAAGCATTGACTTAAAAGATGCACGTAAAAGATCCCTATCTCACAGCAGATATCCCAGCTCCTTTCATCCTCTTTTTGGAGTACACTTAAGTTACTCAGATTGTTTTACATGATCTTTCATAAGCTAATACAACTCTGAGGGTTTTGTTTTGAGTGCATATGTTTGCCACATGGTGTGGATTCTGCTTAATGTAACTTCTTTTGAGCTTAATTAAGCATTTGCTTGCATGACTATTAGTGCTTTGAGGTCAATTTAAAAAATGCACAAGTTATAAATACAGAAGAAAGAGCAACCTACCAAACCTAACCTAACAAGAACTCCCCCTCCCCCACCAAAATTTTCCTACTAAGACTGTGTGGATTTCAGTTCTGCTTTTCCTGCAAGTTGATCCAAACATCTGGAAGAAAATGACTAAAACTGTTTGCATCTTTGTATGTATTTATTACTTGATGTAATAAAGCTTATTTTCATTAACAAAAAAAAAGAATCTCTTTAAAAAAAAAGAATCTCTTGTGCTGCTTTAAGGATTTTCTCTTTCTCTTTGAACTTTGCAAGTTTCACTATTAAATGTCGAGGTGTTCTTTGACGTGGATGGAACTGGAGGGTATTATGCTGAGTGAAATAAGTCAATTGGAGAAGGACAATCATTATATGGTATCTTTCATTTTGGGAATATAAAAAATAGTGAAAGGGAATAAAGGGGAAAGGAGAAAAAATGAGTGGGAAATATCAGAAAAGGAGACAGAACATGAGAGACTCCTAACTCTGGGAAACGAACTAGAGGTGGTGGAAGGGGAGGTGGGCAGGGGGTGGGGGTGACTGGGTTATGGGCACTGAGGGGGGCACTTGATGGGATGAGCACTGGGTGTTATTCTATATGTTGGCAAATTGAACACCAATAAAAAAATAAATTTATAAAAAAATAAAATAAATGTCGAGGTGTTGAACAGTTTTGATTGATTTGAGGCCAGGTCCTCTCTATCTTTTGGCTCTGAATGCCTATTTGCTTCCCCAGATTAGGGAAGTTCTCAGCTATGATTTGTTCAAATATACATTTTGGTCCCCTCTCCCTCTCAGCCTCTTCTGGAATCCCAAATATACATAAATTCTTCTTTCTAAGACTCGTTTATTTCCCTAAGCCTTTCCTCATGGTCTCTGAATTGTTTTCCTCTTTTTTCCTCAGCTTCCTTCCTACCATCAACTTGTCTTCTATGTCATTCACTCTCTCCTCCACCTCATTAACCCTAGCAGTTAGGTCCTCCAGTTTAGATTTCATCTCATTTCATCTATTTTTTAATTTTGGCCTAATTAGATATGAATGCTGCAGTAATGAAGTCTCTAGAGTCCTTTAAGCTTTTTTCCAGAGCCACCAGTAGCTTTATAATTGTGCTTCTGAATAGATTTTCTGACATCGTATTGAAATCCATATTCTCTAACTCTGTGACATAGAATTCTGTTTCCGGGTCTTTCTTTTATGGCGAATACTTCCTTGTAGTCATTTTTTCCAGTACAGAGTGGCTGTATGAGCAGGCTGAGTCAAAAATATTAACCACAACCTAAGTAAAATACATCATAGATGATTCTGAAGAGGTCAGAGAACAGAAAATGAAAAGGAAGAACACAACAAAATAAAACAAAAGGACCACTAAAGTGAAAAACAAATTTTAAAACAAAGTAGTCAATATAAAAGGCCAAAACCACAAAGAAGAAAATAGGAAAAGAAAAAAGAAAAAAAGTAAAGAAAATAGGAAAAAGAATAAAGAGAAAAGGAGGTGCTGGCGGATGGTGGTGGTGAAGAAGCTGTAGTGGAGAGCGAATGTAGTCTACCTGAGGGGTCCTAGATGGCGATTCTCTTGGTCCTGAGTGTATTTTGTTCTGTATGTTAGAAGATGCTCAACCCCAAATTTATATAAACCAGCAATACTTATAGAAATGCCCATCATTGACCACCAAAACATAAATGAAATAAAAGAGGGGGACAGAATGGGAAGGAAGAGAGAACATAATCTCACAGAATGAACCCTGGGATCACGACCTGAGCCAAAGGTGGACACTCAACCATCAAGCCACCCAGCCATCTCTGTTTTCCTTTTTCTTATCCGTCACCTTCCACCCTTCTGCCTACACCTGTTCCTTCTTCTCAATCCCATGTCTTTTCCTGCAAAACAGGCCTCTGGAAGAGGTGGAAGAGCAGGCAGTGGTTTGGGCATCGGTTCTGGTGGGTTCTGGTGTGTGTGCTTAGGGAGGAGGAATGAATTTCGGATTTCAGCATCAGCCTACTTCCCCCTCTTCTTCAGGATTTTGACTGTTGGGAAGTGGGAATTGAGTTGTAGAAACCAGCCTGAGTATGACACCACCCTCAGCGCACAGGCACACACACACACACCCTGGCCAGCAGCTACAGTCCAGTTTGACCCTAACCCATTAACTGTCCAAGCTCCTGGGCCTTAACCCTCACACTAATTTGGGTGTTGCCCGACCAATTCGCAAGCCCTGGCTATGACCTTTGAAGGATGGGGGACTAGTGAGTGACACCATAAAGGTCAGCGACCCCCGGTTGGAAAAAGTGCAATTTGTATGAGGGGCAGATAGGAGGAGCCAGAGATAGACTCGTTTATTATTAAGAGCTCCATGAGCCCAGGCCAACGTTCAGCGCCTGCCTGAGCCTCACTCTGAGTCTCGTCCTCAACTCAGCTGTCTCGGGAGGTCTCCACCCGGTAGGCAGATAGGATCATCCAAGCTCGTGGGACCTAACCCTAACACCTAACCCAAACCCTAATCTTAAACCCAACACACACTCACTACTGGCAGATATGTCCCTCCAAATTCCTGGGCTCTAATCCCAACTCTAGCTTTGCATCTACATCTTGTACCATGTCATATCTTTCCAAACAACAAGTCTTATTTATTTCAAAATTTCCTTCTTTTACCTTCAGCCTAAATGCATTTCCATTCCTTAGATCTTTGTAACATACCTCCTAGTTTTCTACACGCAGAATTTTCCCCTCATTCCTATTAGCCTATAGACATGTAGCAGAATTTTAACTTTTAGAAACTTTAGTCTCCCTTGAAAACAATGTAATGAGCAAGTGTAAACCCTTATATCAGAATTCTTTAGACATAAATTTATGAAACAATAAAGTATAAACCATGATTACCAACAGACTCAAAAATTCTTAACTTCCTTGCAAAAAGAAACAAATACCACAAATGTACATTTCCTAAGCAATGCTTTAGTACTTTCCCCAAACCAGAACCCCGAACATGAACCGCTAAACCTGAACCTGAGCCTGAGCCTGAGCCTGACCCTAAACCTAATCCTGAACCTCACTCTAACCCTGACGCTCATCCTGACCCTCACCCTTTCCATGACCCTGATCCTGTCCCTGATCCTTGCCCTAACCTTAACCCTGACCCTGACCCTGACCCTAACTCTAAAGTCATGAAACAAGATGCTAGTTTAAAACTGCATTCTAGTAACATTTCTTTCTCAGTGTTAAATATATGGCACTCGCCATGTTTTCACACATACTATTGAGATACTTTTTTTAAAATTTATTTTTTATTGGTCTTCAATTTGCCAACATATAGCATAACACCCAGTGCTCATCCCATCAAGTGCCCCCCCCCAGTGCCCATCACCCAGTCACCCCCATCCCCCGTCCACTACCCTTTGTTCATTTCCCAGAGTTAGGAGTCTCTCATGTTCTGTCTCCCTTTCTGATATTTCCCACTCATTTTGTTGAGATAGTTTCTAATGTCAACACACAAGAGTATAAGTAAAACCTGCTTCCTGTGTGCGATAACTTCTTTCTCAGAGTTAAAATATGTCAGTAGACATACACATGCACACATATATTTGGTACGGGTTATGAAGATGCTAGCTGAAAGCTGCATTCTAGTAACGCTTGTTTCTCAGAGCTAAGTATATATCACATGCCTTATGCTGTCACACCTCCTTTTGAGAGAGCTCCTCAAGTGCTATCACTGGTGTGGTGCTGACTGAGTGCTTCATGCACGTTACCTAGGTGCTCCTCCTGACAACACTATGAGCTGCCTGTGAGGATTACTCCCCTTTGTGCAAGTATAGAAAGGTGGAGCCTTTCTTGACAGGTACATGGAGGAGCTGGGATTTGACCTCCGGCCCTCTGGTTCTGCTTTGTTCTGTGACGTGTGTTCTCAGGACAGCTCCCACACAGTAACCAGAGAAAGGGGGCTGTGCTGGAAATGGGATCCCTATACAGCCAGTGAGACTCCTGAGCCAGGGGTTTGATGGGCCACATGTGTGAGGGATCCTGCCGAGGACAGCCACATCATCACTGGTGTCCCTGTGTCCTCGATGGCAATGCTCTCCTGTTGACCTTCCTCTGGGCGGTGTTTCCAACGCCTCCATTCTCACCGAGGATCTGATGCTTCACTCATTTAACACATGGGCTCTAATATTCCCAGATGAGAGATGCTGCCTGACCAGTTGCCCCTCAGAGTGGGCTCACAAACTGCCATTCATCCTCCTCTGCCTTTGTTTCTAGTACTGAGAAGGAAATTTGTCTCTTTTATCAACTTTCTTCTTGTTGTTTGATAGTCCCACAATCTCCTTCCCTTCTGAGACATTCATCCAGGGGATTTATTTTTCTTCTCAGTTATGAGCTACATCCATCTCTTAGTAACAGAATGTGAAACACGCAGATATAAGGGTGTACATTGACTGAAGGGTATTCACTTTTTATATGTAATAAAAGTCCAGAAATACCTGGTGGTTGGCACTAGTTCCATGGCTTAAGTCTTTACAGTCTT